ATATAAATCATCATAAATGGGAGACTGGCTGGCTCTGGGGATTCATAATGGAACATGATGCGTTTTAAAATCCTGTGTTTTCATTTCTGAACAAAATAAATCTCATATTTTCATTTCTGAATGCTGCCCTGTGAATACCAGACCTCCCATTGTAACCTGACAGAGCATGCTATCATTTTCAACAGGGCCGCACCGTGGAGCCAATGAATGGATTCAATCAAAAGATTTTAAACGTTTTGATCAAAGGTGCTGCCTACCGAACCTATTCATTTTAAATACAAGGACTTGCTTACACAGGCTGTGGGTGGCGAGAAGATTCTTAGAACAGGCATAAGACTGTGTCAATTGCAGAAACCCCCTTCTCTGATCATGTTAGCTGTAGTATGTATCCATAAGAAGGATGAGGAACTCTTTTTCCAGCTGGAGGACCACCTATGTCTGCCGTGAGTAGGGCTAGTAGGAGAAGTGGGCAGTGCAATGGATGTAACTGTCCATTCCATCCCACCTACACAGAAGACAGGACTTTCTATACCCACCCCCACATGTACACAGCTCTCCACCAAAGCAGAGCAAGGGCCATGGTCACAATCCAAGGACACATTCCAGCTAGACAGAAGGAAAGTGTGGGCATCTGAAGAATATGGCTTGGGGAGGGGCCCAGAGAGAGCCCCAAGTGCCATACAATATTCAGCCCCCAGGCCTGAAGGTCCCCACCTCTGAGGAGACTGGATTTGGGGGTTCATAGTTAACGGAGCTTAAAAACAAACCTTCTGAATTATTATGATTATGATTTTTTATTATTATTATTATTCACAAACAACTGCAAATGGAAGTACTGACTAAAAAGTCCTTTTAACTGGTTGTCATCCATTCGTGTTTATGTGCCACGTTCATTTTTTCTTCTCTTTTCCTGGGTGGCTCCATTAAGCTCCTCTCCCTCAGTTGTCACCTAGCGGCAGCCATTCCATCAGGTGACAGCAAAGGGGGAGGTGGGGATGAAGGGCCATTCCATCAGCTCTGCTGAGGGACCATCCCCATCAGCCTCTTTCCTCAGTCAGGCTGGGAGAGACCCCTATCTGAAATCCTGGAGAGCCACTACCATTCAGTGTTGGCAATTCTGAACTAGATAGATCAGCAACCTGACTCAGGAGCTTCCTATGTTTCCATGTACTTTCATAATAGCAACATAATAGCTTTTCTTTTCATCAGCCTGCGGCAGACCATTCCATGTGAACTCCGATCTCCGATCAACTCAGCTGCTTCCACACACATAGACACAAAGAATGAACTACTTTCACAGCCTGACTATAATTCTGAGGAATGAAGCAGTAAGGTACATTGCCAAAAAAGCAATCCTTTCTGCAGCTATGCTTGGTATAAAGACCATAGATAATTTTGGATGAACAGAACTCTCTATGATAAAGTAATAACATCATTTAAGCAGAAACACAATAGACAATCTCATAATGTCTCTGGTCTTTTGGGACTTGGAATCATAATCTGTAAATAAGCTGCAAAGCCATGATTTTGAGCCAATAATTGTCACCCGATCAACCAACTTTGGCTAAAGTTTCTTTCAGAATTTCTAGACAATGGATATATATATATAGGCAAGAAGTTAATATCTAGCCCAGAGATACAAATGCCCAGCCATTTGTAAACACATTGCTGTTTACTCTAGCTCCACAGTGCTCTCATGGCCGGCTTCTGAATCTGTGTACACACATTACCCCTCGATGCAGAGTCGTAGCCTTGAGAAATGCTGGCATCGGGAAAATTTAATCCACATTCACTTTGCAGTTAAATCTGAGGGGTGTGTGTGTTTGAGACAGCCATTGAGCATGCATGGATAACAGCACATGCACAGATTATAGCTTCATTATTAGGTTGCATGTGCAGGGGAATCAAACAGGTAATGCATGTCAGGCGAAGACTTCTCCACCTGCTCTCTGGTGTATACAACAGCATGTGACTTGGAATGTACTGGGGGAGGGCACTCATTGCATTTTAAGACACTCGTGTGTACATAACCTTAGTCACTCTTAAGGAATAAGTATCCAGGTAGCTAGGAGTCCTAAAACACACAGCATTCATTTTAAGGTAATTTTGATCAGGGAGCTGATAGCATTCCAAAATGAAGTCTGCTTCCAGCAGTCTGTACAGTTTTTGACCAAATGATCAGCTAATGGTGTCAACTAGCTAAACCAGACATGGAGAGCCTGTGGCCCTCCCAATGTTTGCCTGTGATGGCTGGGGCTGATAGGAGTTAGGAGTCCACTATTGGGAGGGCCAATACTGAGCTGAAAGCTTGATAGCTTTTCCATAGCTAAACGCTATGACAGAAAAACAGACACGGCAGGCTCAGTACAGGTTGGCTTTTGCAGTCTCCGTTGCCCAAGGCTGAGCTGATTGTGAGAACATCTCTAAGAAATTACTGCAAACAGGGAAAAAAGAGAAGCTAGGCATAGAAGTCTGGAAAAGAATAAATAGATTCCTTTTATGATACCTGGAAGAATTCTGGAATTGCTGGTATAAAGAAAACATGTTTTTCTTCAATTGGCTTGCAGTATGAAGCTGTAAAATACAAAAAGAAGCTACAAATCTGAAAAGCAAGGCTTTATAAGCTATACTGTTTTAAAATGCAGCTGGTGCTTCTCCTGGGGCAGAAAGCCAGAGGTCTAAGGGCTGGAGAAGGGGGGAGGGAGAGAGAGATTCAGGCCTCCAGGCTAAGGCTGTTAGATGTTATGAGCTGTGTACTGAAACTTAGGCACCTTGTTGCCTAAGGAAACATAACCCAAATTTGATTCAACAAATTTCTGTGGCACAGGCTGAAAGTAAGCATGAAGAGAGGGAAATAAGAAAAAGTAAGTTAGAGAGCTGAACAGGGATGAAATCTGAGTATGGAACATTACAATCAAACATTAAGAGGGGCAAATTTATCCACACACACAATCTTACTAAACATACTGTACCAAAATATTTCAAAAATTACTTTGTTGAGACCCAGGGAAGCAATTCTCTATCAATTAGAGTTCAGCACATCCATTATTTTAAAAAATGTAGAGTTAACAAGAAAGTGCTGCTCTTTTAAGTGGTATAATAGAGCACGACCTAGTTTTGTTCATCTGATTTTTCTAAATAGCTCTGTTTTGACTCACAAGTTAAGAAGGATATTGACAAACTGGAATGTGTGCAGAGGAGGGCAACCAAGATGATCAAGGTTCTGGAAACCAAGCCTTATGAGGAACAGTTGAGAGAGTAGAGTATGTTTAGCCTAGTAAAGAGAAGATAAGAGGAGATAAGACAGGCATCTTCAAATATCTATAGGGCTGCCACATGAAAGATGTTTTCTCCTGCTCTGGAAGCTAGGATCCAAACCAATACATTCAAGTTGCAAGAAAAGGTTTCCACTCCTCTTTAAATGCATGTTCTTATTGCTCTCTTATTCTATATGTTAGACCTTATTCTATAGGTTAGATTCTATATTCTATCTTCTTAAGTTGTCAGTCCTCCTTACAAGGGACCTCCAGCACTTTCCATTTTGGGGCTAACAAAATGCGAGCTGTTGTTGTTGCATACATAAATATATTTTTCTGGAGGTTATCTAGTCCAACCCCATGCAATGCAGAAATTTCAACTAGACAGATGGCCCTTCAACCTCTGCTTAAAGATCTCTAAAGAAGGAGAGTCCACTACCTCTCATGGGAGCCTCTTCCACTGTTGAACAGCTCTAATGTTCAGAAAGTTATTTCTGGTGATTAGTCGGAATCTCCTTTGTTGAGTATATGGAAAATACTTGCACACAGCTGAAAACTCTGTCAGCATTAAGATAAATTCAACAGGTTAATTAATACTCAAGTGTTGTATGATTGGAGAACTGACTAAAATGGTTATAGTGAAATATGCACGTATAATAGATAAACACAATGAACCATGGAAGGGGAAGGAGGGAAGTCATTGATGATCTGGTATTATGTAAAATGAAAAATATTTTGAAATGTTAAACTGAAAATCCAATAAAAATATTTTTTTAAAAATAGATAACCCTCAGGGGTTCCTTCCAACTCTAAAGTTCTACGATTCTATGATTGTATGTAAACTGTTTAGAGATCATGATGATAAATCGACCAATAAATATTGCTAAATAATAAATAAATAAATCCTTGACTATTGGCCGTGCTGATTGTTTAAATGGGAATTGGAGTCCTAGCAACAAGAGAGGGGCATGTTTGTGTATGTATGTATTTATATGCCCTTTTCACTTTATTTTTAAGCTAAGCAGTCTTTCTGTCAGAAGCCAAAGTGAAACCAAGGCAGGTACACTTCAATCATGGAAGATCTTAAACTGCCTAGTTAGCTCATAACTAAGTTTGTCTGCACACTTCATGGCTGGATGCAGGTACCGCTTTGGGATGCTGTAGCCATGACATCATCCCTTTGCCATCCCTGCCTTATGCTATTTGCCAATCTAAAGTGCCTTCTGCTGGAATGCTTATAAGACATGTACGAACTGTGTGATAAAGGGCATTCAGGGCTGTGTGCAGGCACCCTTGCAAGGCTTTATACACATGATGTCATCCCTGCTCCACCCTTTTGGTCAATCTGAAGCATCTTCTGCTGGGATGGTTACAATCCACTTTGTGCTAGGAATGCACTTCTCATGTGCTTGCTTCCTACATTATACACGGAAAGGACTTTCTTAGGCCACCTCACACTGCGGCAGGCCGACTGACATGTCAGGGCTGTGCCACTCCCCTTCACAGGGCCGTCTTAAGCATATCCAGTGCCATTGTGCAAAGATACCTCTGGCGCCCCCTCCCCTTTCTCAGAGTTGTTGACCTTGTTCTAGGGATGGAGGAGGCGGACAGCAGCTGGAGGGTGGCTCCTCCGGCGGGGAAGAGGCGGAGGATGGACACGGCGCCTCCCAGCTCAGCTGGCCGCTTCGTGCTGCAGTGGCCACAGCAGGCAGCACACCGTGCGAGCGAGGGTGTGTGCACTGCTCCCACCGAGCGTTGGCTCGGTTTTTTTCCTTTTAGCCTTCTGGTGCCCCGCAGAATTCGGTGCCTGCAGGCTAAAAGGGAAAAAACCGAGCCGACGCTCGGCGGGAGTGGCGCAAACACCCTTGCTCACTCAGCGTGCTTGTTTGGGGCTCCCCAGGCTCTTGCCTGGCGCCCACCAGAACCTGGCACCCTGGCGCCCCGCGCCACTAGCCTCTATGGGTAAGACGAGCCTGCCCCTTCACCATGTTTCACTTGCCTGTTAATGAAATCAGCAAAGCAGGAAGCAGCAGAATAACTTAGCTGCCTCTGAATACCAACACAGACCAATGTCCAGCCCTACTCTTTCAAAATATTGTGAAAAGAATTTGAAAAATTTGAAAACACACCCACTCGTGTGTTCAGACAACACTGCCGGGAGCTTCTGCTTGAGATGACCTCATTGTGCAAAGGTGTGTACAATTGCTACCTGCTATGGTCAAAAGCACACTATGAAGAAAACACAAGCCCTGCGTGTTTTAAAGGTTACATGTGTACACAACCTACGTCTTGGTTAAATACCAGGGGTATGATGCTTTCCTAAGAGAGCCAGAAACGTGGCAGACATGTGCAGGATCAAGCTGGTAATCTGTTTTTCTGCAACTGAGACAACCAGCAAATTCTCACTAAGCTGCCCACTCTGCAGTAGTCTGGTCTTATCAAGGACCTACTTAAGTCTCTAGGACTCTTCCTGAACACCCTGGAGCAACTGCTTGTAAACAGAATCCACCAAACAGGAGCCCTGGCCTTTCTACTGTAGAAACATTAAGAACATTTTAAAAGAAAAACAGTATCAGAGGCTGTTGTATTTGTGACTCAGTAAAAATGGTAGCTTTTGATTTATCTCTGTAGCATGCAATGCTGTTGTAAAAATTGAATCGCCTGTAACAGCAGAAGTAAAGCATGGATACTTGTCCCTTGAAGATTGATAAAAGCACTGCCACCAACACAGCAAGGGCATTTTTTTTGTCAATGTGCATCTGAAGTTTGTAAATGATGATCCCGACAGACCAAACAAAAACAAAACTGTTCCCCGATTCCCAGTCCTCCTGACACTCCCACTGACTCATTTAGAGCGTTGTTTCGATTAGGGAGCCATCAAGTGGAATAAAGATGCAGGGACTGCTCTAAATGGAGGCAGATGGGGCAGCCAAGCTCAAGAGAGGGGCAGCAAAGCATCCAAATTAGATCCATCAGCCTGTCCACAGGCACTGCATTGCCCATCTGCTGCAACCGGCTATGGGTGGATATCAGAGACAACTGAGGCGTTTGAAAAAGCCACTCAATCAGTCAGCACAATGGAGCTCGTCACAAGTGCCATGAAGCCTCATCATTACACTTTCCCCAATTCCCACACTTGGGCTACGTGCACACTTCAGCCTTTGAAGTGCTGTGGTTTGGAGTTTTCTTTTCTTTTTTGGTTTGGAGTTTTCTGAAAACGCTTTTTCAGACGTCGCTTTGCAAGTGTCCATATTCTAGGGTTGCCATGCGTCCAGAATTTCCCGGACATATCCGGAATACTGCGTTTGGCAGCAGTGTCTGGGCAGAAATCAGCTACATGCCCAGGAAAATCCAGACATATGGCAGCTCATGGCAGCAGTGCCATTTTTGCCGATTTTCCATAAAAATAGCTCAAAAACGGCATTTTTTTCTATCCGGATTTTCACTGTTTGAAATATGGCAACCCTGCCATACCAGCACACTACGCAGACAGCATGAGCAGTTATTAAATCATTGCTATCTATATACAGGGAGGATATCTCCTCTTTAGCTACCATGCATTTTTTTCCTCTGTCCCCTTTCAGTACCCACCACATTCCTTTAAAAAGAAAAAGGAAAATCTTGCAGGCTTATTAATATACCATAGTCCAGTAGCACAAAATACTCAGGCACAGTTAGTTATGTTTCACTCAGTGAATGCCCAGGCCAGGAGTCCTTCTCTTGCAGCAGTGCTATTTTTCTAGAAAAAGAGGTGCCGGAACCCACCATGAATGCCTCTCTTGCTCTCTTATAATGGCAACAGCGCCCACCTGAGCGGTGCCAGAACTGAGTCCGGTGAGCCAGTGGCATAGCGTGGGGGGTGCAGGGGGGCCGGCCGCACCGGGCGCAAAATGGGGGCGCGCTCGCACTCGCAGCTCTCTGCCCCTACCTGGCTCACTCACTCTCTCTCAGCGCTGTCACAGATTTCGCAAAAAATTCGCTATTGTCACACGGATCCTCCTCCTAGCCAATCAGGAAGTGGGATCCACTTCCTCATTGGCTGAAGGCGAATGCATGCAATTGGCTGAGCTGCCGAGCAGGAGGCGGGAGGACTCGAGGAGACGCGGGGAACTGAGTAGAAGCCGCCGCTGCAGGTAAGTCTCTCTGCATTGAAAGGGGGCACGTTGGTCTCTCTGCATTGAAAGGGGGCACGCTGGTCTCAGCTGAGTGCAGTTCATATCACTTGAGTGCATTTACAATGTGGAAAGAATTAGAAATGCGGCTGCATAAACAGGAGACTATTGATGCTGCTGCCCAGCTTGCACAACAGAGGTCATTTGAAAAATGGAAGGCAATCTTAGTCAGAATACTTGATTGTGTTCTGTATCTAGCCAGGCAAACCTTACCCTTACGTGGTCACTCTGAAGATTTAAATACAGATGGTAACTGTGGAAATTTCTTAGAAACTTTCAAGTTACTCGCCAAATATGACCCAGTTGCCAAACAACATCTTCACAGAGTACAACGCACAGATGGTTACATTGTGTCCTATCTCTCTCCACAGAGCCAGAATGAATCTATTAGCCTGCTCGGCGATCACATTCGAACAGTCATCTTTCAAAATATCATAAAGGCCAAGTATTTTGCTATAATGTTTGATAGCACTCCTGATATTTCACACACTGACCAAATGTCCCAAGTGATTTGATATGTGCATATTGAAGATTCAGGAGTCCATGTGACAGAGTCTTTCATTGACTTTATTCAGTTATATGGGAAATCAGCTGATGTCATTACAAAACAAATTTGTGACAAGTTGCAAGCTGATGGCCTTAAACTAGAGCATTGCTACGGCCAGGGATATGACAATGCTGCGACTATGGCTGGACACATTAGTGGTGTACAAAAACGTATTTTGGATATGAATCCCAAAGCAATGTTTGTGCCATGTAACAATCACTCGCTCAATCTTGCTAGGATGCATGCAGTTGATGTTGGGACAAAGTCTGTTACTTTCTTTGACACTGTGGAAAAGGTGTATGCATTTTTCTCAAGCGCCACCCACAGGTGGGATATCCTTAAGAAACATGTACCAATTCGTGTAAAGCAATCGTGTAACACAAGATGGAGTTCAAAGCATGAAGCTGTATGCATACTTGCTGAACACAATGAGAAAATAATAGACGCTTTGGAAGCGTTGAGAGATGGGCCGGAAGAAACCTCTGAAACCAGGGGTGATGCAGGAAGTCTTTTAGTTTGCATAATGACATATGTTTTTTTTCTCTTTCTTGCATTTTTGGAACCCACTACTAACCGAAGTAAATGATACTCAGATCTACCTGCAGCAAGAAGGACTTGCGCTTGATCAATGCGTGCAAAAGTTAAAAGCATTGGCTTTATTTTGTCATGAAAAACGTGATAGTCTAGTGTCAAAGGCAACTGAGAAAGCTCTGCAGGTATGCAAAACCTATTGCATACCTACAGAAAGAAGAGTTGGAAGACGCAAGAAGATGGATGGTGAGAACAGTTGCCATGCTGGCTTGACCTTAATACAGGAAACAAGCAGAGAACAACTGGAAGCAATTGATCAGCTTCAGGCAGAAATTAAAAAACGTACTACGCAGATGAATACGCTTCACCAGCGATTTGCTTTTTTGCAAATCCAAACATTGTTGGATACTGGAAAAGATGATTTTATTAAGAAACAAATTCAGCTCACGTGTGCTCAGTACACAGAATTGAATGCTGCATCTATGCTCACCGAAATAACTCGACTTCGGCACCACATTATCTTGTATAAGGAGGTCAATCCTGATAAGCAGGTTGCAAACTGGTCAGCTTTAGATTTGCTTCGCTGGATGTATAAGTGGAAGCTGCAAGAAAGTTTAACTAACTTTGTTGTCACATTAAGAATCTTTCTTACTATCACTGTTTCTACAGCGAGTTGTGAAAGAAGGTTCTCAAAACTTAAACTAATTAAAACATATCAGAGATCTACAATGAGCCAAGAAAGACTGAGTAATCTAGCAATACTGTCCATTGAGAGAGACTTTAATGTAGATTTCAATTCCGTTGTTGAAAAATTTGCGCTAATTAAAAGCAGGCGAATTTAAATTAATCTGTATATACAGATTGATATCTTGCACTTCTATTAAAGAATTACAATTAGAGGTACAGGATTGAGGAAGTTGGCTCCATCTAGCCCAGTCTTGGATCATCTCCAGGGTATGGTTCCATTTTGATGTTTAGTTTTTGTTCTTGATATTTTTTGTCATTTACGGTGGTTGTGAGATGACATATAATAGCATGGCCCATGCTAGGTTACTACATTTGTAGATTTGTATTCATAGACCTGCTGAAAATGTGGAGAATGTGTAATGCATGTTCGCACTCAATAAAGTGTTTGAAAATAAACTTGTATTTAGATGCATTTTACTTTAATTACATCAGTATTTTCATAACAAACAATACATGTGCTTAGGAGGTAAGGGTTTCTTTAACTAATCTAGTGGAAGAGACTCGAGTGCTAAAATCCACGGGTTAGGGGGCGCAAATTACTTGCCTTGCCCTGGGTGCTGACAAACCACGCTACGCCACTGCGGTGAGCTCCTGCTGACAAAAAGCCTTGTCTTACACTATCATTACATATCTCATTTATTTTGGCAGGGAACTCTGAGTATGCTCAGAGGCTGCCTGCTATGGCACCATGCATGACTCATTACTCCCAGCAGTATCGATTTCATTGCAGGGCACTCGTGGTATGGTATGCTGAGAGTCTCTCTGCCCTAGCACTAGGAACACTACGCAGTTTGATTTATTGAATGTGGAGTGTGAAAAAGGGCACTTCAGGCTTCTGATATATCTACTCCCTGTTATACCAATTAATTCCACTGGAGTCCTCGTGGTTTCTTAAAGGGCAACACACAAGCTGGATGCTCCTCACATCTGCCAAATTGCCACCACAAGGTATCGTATGACATGGTCCTTGTTGGGAAAAGTTTAAAGTTCTTGTTTTTATCTGTAAGCTGCATTAAGTCCAATCAGGGGAAAAGATGGGGTGTTGTTGTTGCTGTTGTTGTTGTTGTTAACACCTGGCACCCAAGGGTAGCGCTCCCTTCTCTGCAATTTTAGGTCAAATTGGTCACAAAATGCTAGAGGAGATTCCTTTTTTACCTACCCCAAAATTGTAGACGTTGCCCTTGTGGGGAAAACATTGAGGCTATCTTTCTGAAGTATGACAGGATTCATGCTCTTGGAATGGAATACCTTGCCAGAAAATGTCACCCTGTTCTGCCCCTCTCCCACTAGATTTATAAATATTTCCTTTAAAAAAAAAATGTTTTGGAAGAAAGGAAGAAGAACATGCAGCACACTTTTAAAAATTTTCTCCCCTGTCTGCAGGTGTTAATGTGCTTTTTTTTTATTAGCAACAACTCTTTCCCCAAATTTCCTAGCTAAACTATCTGCCATATAAATAAAAAAATTAGTCAGATTTCATTTTGCCTCAGAGTAAGCCACGTTGCATCTGACAAGGCAAGACAAATGACATGGCGAGCAGCAACATTTCAGAACTTTAGAAGGTTGAGTTTCTTTCCCATCCGACAACAATTGTCACTTTGGATAGGAAGTTGCTCACCTAAGTCTTAAAATATTAGTGACTAGTCAGTGCTTTGAGGGTGTTTTGTGGTGACACTACCCATGAACTGTCAGGATAACCTCTGTTCACTCTTCCAACTCCAGTCTCTCCCCACTTTCAAAGAGAAGTCTGGGTGCTAAGGATATTTATTGGGTGGCCAAATGGAAGAAAAAAAAACAGAAAAGGGTCCTTGCACCTTTAACAGTTGTGTAGAAGAGGGCATTTCAGCAAGTGACTATTGATCTCATGCCCTGCTAGGGAGCTTCCCATAGTGAGGATGCTGGACTAGATGGGTCAGAACTCTACTTAGATTCCTGAGCCACACCTTAAGATGAAATGTCCTCTTCTACGCAACTGTCAAAGTGCAGAAGTCCTGTCCTTTTAACTACACCATTATGGTAGCGTAAGCTGTCTCTGACAGATTGTGGAATCTGATTGTGGCAAATTCCAATATGAACTGGTCTGACTCACACTTCCAGGATGAATGTGTGGGTCAGAACTCAGGGTACAATCCAAACCCCAGCTGGGCAACAGTAGGACTGTTGGAGGACCACTGGTAAATCTGCATCCCTTTCAAGCACACCTGTTGGGTGTGAGTGAAAGGGATGCAGATAGCTCACTGCTATCACAGGCATCGTGAGCTTGGGGTGAGAGAGAGGTGGGAGGAGTGAAGGAGGTAGTGCTCTTTCCTTTTTTTGCATATCATGTTTCTGATATGCTGTCACTGAACAATGTTCATTCCTGGGAGACCTCTCACATTTGGATCTAAAATATATACAACAGATGGAAAAAAATGCTGCGTACCATCCATAACTCACATTATTTACCCTCTTGACCCACTTAAATGCCATCATTAGTTGAACTTCATCCATCATCAAGGGTTTCTGACCCATGGTGCTCAGGCCTTTGTTTTCATGATGAGGTGTCCACAGCAGCTTGCTTAGTTTGGGATATGCAAGCATATGACCTAATGCACTGCAGCAAAATTCACAGTTGCAGGATCCGTTAATGTGGCAAGTGCTCAAGGGTTTAAAGTAGGATGGTTGAACTTGTCAAGATATTTTTAGATTGCCTAGCAAAGCTGTTTGTTCTGGTTTAGATGCTGCAGGGCGTTACAGTTGCTTTGAAGGAGAGGATGGCCAAGCAGACTCCCAGTGAATGACAGTGTCAGTAAACGAGTTTGTCAAGGATTCGTTTTCTGACTTGCGAAACATGAGAGAGTTTTGAAAGAATCCAAAGGTACTTCATTCTGATTGGCAAGATTAATCCTTGGTGGAATAATCTGTCATGACTTGCCATTGCCACTTAGCCTGTGATCCTAAGCATTGTTGCTCAGATGTTCCATTAAATAAAAGAGGACTACTTTCAAGTAAATATACATACATACATACATACATACCTTGTTATGTTGAGCTCATATTTTGCACAATTTGTATACAGTATCTGTTTGATAATGTGTGGTTTGCTATGCCTAATAAAGGATAACTATTTGACATACACACATACATACATAAGGGACGCGGGTGGCGCTGTGGGTTAAACCACAGAGCCTAGGACTTGCCGATCAGAAGGTCAGCGGTTCGAATCCCCACAACAGGGTGAGCTCCTGTTGCTCGGTCCCTGCTCCTGCCAACCTAGCAGTTCGAAAACACGTCAAAGTGCAAGTAGATAAATAGGTACCGCTCCGGAAGGAAGGTAAATGGCGTTTCTGTGTGCTGCTCTGGTTCGCCAGAAGCGGCTTAGTCATGCTGGCCACATGACCCGGAAGCTGTATGCCGGCTCCCTCGGCCAATAAAGTGAGATGAGCACCACAACCCCAGAGTCGGTCACGACTGGACCTAATGGTCAGGGGTCCCTTTACCTTTACTTTACTTTACTTTACCATACATACATACATACATACATACATAATTTTATGGTCAGGATTGGAGTTAATACTGAATGGTTGAATTCCCATGCCATTGTTTTGATTTGTTTTTTGTTAATTGTGTGGATTGCCAACAACTATTAAGATGGTGGATTCCAACACTGGTAGCTAAAGCAATCTTATAACTCTCAACTTCCATCTAGTCCAGGATTTTGCTTCCCACTGTTACCAGCCAGGAAGCCTACAAGGAGCATGTGAAGGCTGGAGTCGTCCTAGTGCTATTGCTACGTAGCATGTAGTATTAAGAGGTAAAGGTAAAAGGTAAAGGAGCCCTGGACGGTTAAGTCCAGTCAAAGGCGACTATGGGGTTGTGGCGCTCATCTCGCTTTCAGGCCAAGGGAACCGGTGTTTGTCCACAGACAGCTTTCCAGATCATGTGGCCAGCATAACTAAACTGCTTCTGGCACAACGGAACACTGTGACGGAAACCAGAGTGCATGGAAACGCCATTTACCTTCCCACCGCAGCAGTACCTATTTATCTACTTGCGCTGGTATGCTTTTGAACTGCTAGGTTGGCAGAAGCTGGGACAGAGCAAAGGGAGCTCACTCCATCACAGGGATTCAAACTGCTGACCTTCTGATCAGCAAGCCCAAGAGGCTCAGTGGTTTAGACCACAGTGCCGTCCGCTCGCCAAGTATTCAGAGGTATACTGTCTTTAAACATGAAGGTGCAATATTGCTAACATGGCTAATTGCCCATTTTGAACAGCAGAGGACTGTAGCAACAGCATAACATTTTGGACACTTGCAATTTTATTATCCTCATGGAATCCAGTAACTTCTCCAGCAAGATAAACATTCCTGAAATCTTCCCAGTTGTAAAAACTGCAACCAGGGTCATGAAACATTTCTGAGGTGTTATCAGTTGAGGCAGGTTTTTTTAAAAAACAGGACCTTATCTGCAAGCCTGCCTGTTATCAATAATAATAATTTTTGTACTGTATGGTTCTTTGCAAGCATAGCTGAAATGGACACTTTACAATTGTAATATTTTGTCTCCTTTATTGTCAGCCTCTTTTCATTACCAGTATATTGTTGTTACATTCCTGTGCCTTTCAGTACTTTTTTGTCATTGTTCTACAGAACTGTGTCCCTGTGTTTTATTTTGATTTTTGAATTGCCTATTTTGGCATGAAGTGGTATATAGATTACAGTAATTAAATAATAGTAGGGGTATTTCTCCATCAATTTATCTGATCTCCTACGAAAAGCATCTGAGCTTAGTGACCACCATATCTTGTAGCAATGAATGCCATAAACGGATCATGTGATGTGAAGAAATGCTTCCTGAATCTCTTCAGTTTAATTGGAGGACCCAATTATTAGGATTTGGATTATTCAAATATACTCTCTTGTCTTGATTTTTTGTGTGTTTGTTTTCCTGGGAACTCTCCATCGAACACATTTGTGCAAACATCAATCAAGGGACTCCCAAGTTGTCTGCAGCTTAAGCTCAGCCACCTTTGGAAGGTGACTTTACTGTGTATCTATGTACATGCTCTTCCTCTGCTGTAGCTTTGGTGCCCAAAGCAAAGCCACTCTCAAAAG